TTCTTCGTCCGGTAGCAAGTTCGACTTCCTTTTGTCGTTTTTAAAATAAATGCCTAAACTGTTTCAGAGGGCTTATCTCGAATATACGTGAGAACGATTTCGTAACCTTATCAAAAAAATTGTATTAGATTTGAGCTGCGTCCTGAACTAGAAGTACACCAACAAATCTCATACATATTTAGTTCTGGTAAATATTCGTAAGAGCACCTCTGAAATAAAGAGTTAAGTAAAAAGCAGGGGAGAATTAAAATAGCTTTATTAGTAAGACAGTTTGAAGCTTATAACATCAAAATGAAACTTCAACCTTATTGCTTAAATTTATTAGATATCTTTCAAGATAAACCATATCGCAAAAAACAGTAGCAACCGTACACAGATTTATCTTACATAAATGAGACAAATTCCAGTCTCGAGTGATTTAGTTAGATTCTTGGAAGACGAGAGTGTTGTGACAGGGAATGTTTAATATAAATTACTGTATATGTATTACATTATTCATAAGTATACCATTCCTAAAAAAACTATGCTTTAACCTGTTTTATTTCTCACGTATTGCTACAACATGAAAACATCTAAATCTCCTGGTAAACAATCTATTTGATCAAGGTTCCACATTAAATGACATCAACATCGAAAATAATGATTCAGAGTGGAGATACGCCTTTCGAGAGGTAGTCAAGAGAAGTTGCGACCCAGGAGTTACGAATCGATGCAGAGAGTTAGGGAATTGTGACAAAAACAATAAAATTAGGAATTAAACCATTATGTTCCAATGTTATTTGATCTATAAATATCTTTCGTCAGTAACTGTCTGCGTGGAATCAAAAAAAGGAAAAGTATGTAGTCAATGTGTTCACCCAGATTTCGCGCTATATCAATGCCAAATTTCATCGAGATCCGTTCAGCCGTTTAGTTGGTAATTTATCCATCTAAACTTACGTCTAAAATAGAATCATTATGATGGTTAAAAATTGTAAAATAAACATGTTTTATGTGTAGACCAACTCGGTTGCGTGATCCAAGCGCAGCCCAGATGTCTTGAACGATCTTAACGAAAAATTGCCTGAGAGAAAATAAGTTTTCGAAAGAATCATAACATTATTCTATTTTTATTATTGAAACGTGATTTTTACTTAATTTGAATTTTAACGTTTACTTAATTTAAAGAGAAGTTTATTTGACTTCATTATCCATTTTTAAATTACTAATTTTTAAACCAAATCTTCATTAAAACACTCCCTTAATGATAAATTAAAGATTCTGAGTGATTCTTCTGTAGTATTTAGAATCTAGAAGAATTTATGCTAAGTAAATAAATATTGTACAAATAAATGGTTATAACTTTATTAAGGTTAAAAGCGTGGTGAAATCAATCAATTAGAATCTTGGTAGAACAAAGATTAAATTTCGTACTCTGAAATTCCGCGGTTGTTCCAAGTATTGTTTTCATTAATAACAGTGCAATTCCGACGAAATCTCGTCTGCAGATGTGAAAAACATTCCTTTGTTCTAACAACCGTAATGTTGCATGCGCCAAACATTCTCAAAATAAATAGCAAAGATACCAGCCGCAATCAGCAATCACATTTATATCAAAACTAGCTGTTACCGCGCGGCTTCATCCGAGTGAAATTATAAAAACTTTATTAAAAACTTATTATGCTGCTCATCCTACGCCACGTAGTGTGTGCTTACGCTCTATTATATTAGTATAGAAGTATAGACAACTAGGCTATTCTTTTTATAACACGAGTGAGGCGCAGGCAAAAGCTAGTTAACTGAGAAATCGATGAATACTAAGACGAGCACATCTGATGCTAAACTATCGCACAACTTATTAGTCTTGCTTTGGTGAGTGAGCTTATATTTTTTTTTATTATTATTTGTTAAGCTAGCTCTTGACCACGTTCCCACCTGAAAGAGGTGACGATGGTACGCGCTAGCTTAATAGTTAGCTGTTTACTCTCCTTTTGAAGGCCCCCACGTTATATTTGGACGGGAAAACTAATGCCGGCAACATGTTTCAATCCTTTTCAGTGCGCACAAGGAACGATGATTGAAACTTTTTCGTTCGGACTCGCGGAACATCAACTACGGAAGGATGGAATTCGACTGTATGCCTGAACGTCTGATGGTAGAAAGGTGACGGTGGAATTAAATCGTGCACGCAGGCATAAATTATTCTATCAATGCCAGTATCCACCATAACCTAGATTGTGGAAAATATGGAGGTGCGCACACTCGATTTTTAATTGTACAACAAAACATTTGAATTGGCTGCGAAACAATGGACAATCGCACAATAGTAATGCGATAGTTTAGTCAAAGGTGTGCTAGTTCTATTATAAACCCAGTTTAAATGACAATTCTAAGATTAAATCATTCCTAATTAAACTAATCAAAACATAATTTGTAATTGTCACAAACATAATTACCGCTTAGCTGGTAAATCATTTAAATCAAACATGTTTGAATTAATGAATGCTGTTATCGGTAATTAATAGGCAGATCGTGGCTGCGGGGCTTGTCTCATTAATTAGCCAGACGAAGCGTAACAATCAACCGGTTGTGGGCACAATGCGTGAGTTTTCCAATGAAATGCTTCAAGCAAATAGGTCAATGGTGTTTAATTTCTTTCTGTTCTATGTTCATAAGGTGTTGAAAATATTAGTTGCTTAAATAAAGATCAAGTACCGATATCAATCAAACTAATATTATAATTGCGAAAGTTTAGACGGATGGATGAATGTTTGTCAGAGTTTGTAGCCTTAACGATTGAACGGATTTGGATGGAATTTGGCGTAGATGTAGAACATAATCTGGAAGAACACATAGCCTATCAACTTTTATTTTTTTTTAAGTCCAAGCGGACGGAGTCAGGGCGAAAGCTAGTTTAGAATAATTTGTACACTATCTGTAAGAAGTCAATACAAGTTTTATCTCCTACCTAACTAGAAGACTATCTTCGATCAATATTAATTTCATTCTTATAACGGTACTTAGAAGAATCATCCTACGTCTATGCCAAATTTCATCGAGATCTATTCAGCCGTTTAGGCTACAAACTCTAACAAACATCCATCCATCCATCTAAACTTTCGCATTTATAATGTTAGTAAGATTTATCCAATGACGAACGTAGTAGTAAAAAGTAGTCCATTTTTGTATAATATCATGGTCGTAGGTATAGGCCCACATAATATCCTCTGTGGTCCTAGTTAAGCTATAAACTCGATAGTGGGAACCACAAACAAATGGCGTGAACATAATGGCGCTGTGCGGTCACTGTTTATCAAGGTAATTAGTGGCACGGACAAAATAGTTTTCCTCTGCCCACTAATTACATATTAAAATTTATAAACACAAAATTTAAAACAATTTAGATGTTATTTATTGCATATCTAGCTTGTTTTTGTCTTATTATATACTAGATAACACCCGCGACTCCGTCCGCGTGGAAATAAAATAAAAAAACAAAAGAAAGTAGCCTATGTGTTCTTGCTTTGCTCTATACCTATGCTAAATTTCAACGAGATCCGTTTAGTTGTTTAGGCTACAAACTCTAACATACATCCATCCATTCATCCATTTAAACTTTCTCATTTATAATATTAGTATATACATTATTATTAAGAAACAAGTAAGCATATCAAACATATTAACGATAGTATTGGATAAGTTATAAAGGACACCAATTGACCGGAAAATTACTCTCGGATTTGATGGAAATAACTTAAGATTGCTTGCGTGCTTGTTTAGGATGCTTAAGCCGCAGCCGACTGAAATATGCATGACATGGACGGCCTTTCATTAAACTTAAAGGATAAAGTCAGTGATACGTGAAGACTCCCACACAAAACAACCATCGTGTCTAATAGCATCGTAAAACAAAGGTTACTTTTAGACCCAGATTTGCCCTTTAACTGGTAACTAAATCATTTATTATCTATTAACTATTCTGTTAAATATGGATTTAATCTTTCTTACTAATGTTGGAGTTTGATACTTTAACTATTGAATGAATTTTGATGAAATAGTATAGATGTAGAGGATAGTCTGGAAGAGCATAAAGGTTACATACTTTTTTTTAACTACGTAGACTGAGCCGTGGGAGAAAGCTAGTGACATATAAAACGCTAATATTTTAGAGACGAATGATTTGTATATTGTCTGTATTGATACAACTCAAAAACTGGGCCGATTTCAAAAATTCTTTCCAAAAAAAGTTATATTTTTCTAACTTTTCTAATTCTCTGTAGCTATCTCCGCAGCTTTAACTTTAAGTAAGGATTTTATTTAACTATTACAATACCTGTACTCTGATCATATTTAAGGAAAACATTTTTTTTTAAATAAGTCCAATTCCTTGCTTAGAAAACACTTAAATTTCATCATATGTTTTTTGCCCCAAATGTCTTCGTCCTTCGACAAAACTTCACATACGCATGTTCACCATTAGAAAAATGAAAAATATCTCCATTGCTTGTTTGCGAAAGTAATTTTCGATAAAACAGTTTGTCGTCGAGGCAGTTCCCCGCAGCTGCGGCCGTGGTACCGATTTTTCCGCTACATTCAGCTTGTACAAGCGTTTACTTTTATTGTTGTTATACGAATTAAGGGCAAAGGGCTTGTTACCGCCTGTTGCGAAGAAAACTTTTGCACATAATATGAAATATTTTCTATTGCTTTAATTTTTTTTGTTTATTTTTATCATTATTTGTATTGATATTCATAAATAGTTACTTTTGATTAACTTATTAAAACTTTCGTGAGACATTATACTATATTATTTATAACACGGCTAAAACTCACGTGGGAACTTTCGGTGTAGGCACCGA